TTTCCATTCCCTGACATGAGACTCAGTGGGGAGGATGGACATCCTTGGGCAGAGTTCCAGCAGGTGTCTCCTACTCCAGCCACCCAGCTCGCCCTGTCAGCAGTCAGTACTCATGCACAGAACATTCTAGCCTTCTGGCCTGGGGGTAGGGCAGCCTCCTCTGACCTTTACTTCTTCCCTGGCCCTCCCTTCTGGGAGGGTTTGTCAGTGAACGCTAGTGAACCCAGTGAGGCCATGATTATGGCAGGTGCCAGTAGGGATGAGGATGGTAGGGATGGGGGATGGCAGGTGTCATAGGGGTGGGGCTGGTAGGGATGGGGGATGGCAGGTGCTGGTAGGGATGGGGGTGGCGGTCATGGACTGGAAGGATGTAAGACCACTGAGGGAACTTCTGAAGGCAGTGTCATCAGGACCACCAGCTGCAGGCCCAGCTCTGCACCTTGACCAAGTGGAGCTCATCAAGAAAGGACAGCTTCCACACACTGGGGGCCTTGTCCTCAAAGCCAAGTCTGTGCAGAACAGCTGCAGCATCTAGGGTTCTGTGAGATCCTCATACTTGCCTGAGCTTTAGCAAGTCATGGTCTCCAGGGTTATGCGAGTTTGTGTCACCCAGTATGCCCCATATGTGGGTACACATTTGAATGTCAAGATAGACGCCCATGCTGTTCCTCTCCAGGCTGTTCCAACAAGAACAACACAGGTCAGAAATGCAGAGGCCAGCAGTGTGGCAGTAGCCTGCTGTCACAGCAGCAAAGATGAGGAAAGAGATAACCCAACAATGCTGGGTGGGGAGGATCCTGCAGGATGCTTTGCTTGCCTGGTGCAGAACTGTTGGGGATGCAGGAACTGCAGGTGAAGTGTTGAGAAAGTATCACCGTGTGGCAGGAGCGTGTCTGCTTCTCATGCAGGGTATCCCAATAGCTGTGTTTACTGGGAGTTGTTTGCTGTCACTTTGGGTACTGTCCCGGGATGTGGAGTGTTACAGCAGAAGGAAGGATGGCTAGCCACCCCCAGAGGTAGAGGATTTGACTTGTGTTTGGTGTGACACGGTGAGTGAGGTGACACAGGGCACTGTCAGAGTGCTGGCAAGCAGTGCTGGTAGCTGGTCGGACTGCCAGCGACAGTTGTCATGGACGTGGTGGTCCCATCTGTTTTGGATGAGGACACTCTGATGGATATGGGCATATCTGGATGTCCTGTATCTTGGAAGGGGATGTCTGTTAGGCTTAGTGAAGTAAGCCAGTCCCCAAGGGACAAATACCCTATAGTATTTCTGATAGAAGACAGCCAGTACTCAAAGTGCATATATAGGAACTGTACGAGGGAGACTAGTATACCAGGAAGTAAAGGTGCTAAACAGTATGAGCCTCTACTCATGAATGAAAGTAGGACTCGCAATGAAACTTACCATCTATTTTTACTTTACAATACTAGGTTTTCCCCCTTTGCCTATACTTACCATGTCATGATCCATTTAAATATTAGAAAGCTAAACTTGTAACTTACACTAAGGCAAAACACTATTGCAATACCAAGGGACACTTGACAAACGGGGGGTGGTGGTATAAGAGGAGGAGGGAAGTGGTGGGAAACGGAGGAACCCCTGTGCCTATTAAATTGTGTCGTGGAAAATATGAAATAGAACTTTGAAAAGAAAGGGGAGGTTTGAACTCCACAGAACTGGAGAGCAAAGAGAGTCACTCCAGAGCTGTTTCTTTGTGGAGGAGGGGAATTATCTTAGCCCAACCTTGGCCACCGTCATGTTGGTTCTACCTGGGGATGGCGTTCCGAGTGGAGGTGTGGGACAGCTGTGTTTGGAACAAGCTCTGATGGAATTGAAAAGGTCGTGCTGATTGTTTCCTAGTCCGTCTTCCCTTGGGCCCTGAAGACTGGTGGTAAAACACCAGAGTGAAACAGCTGAGGGTGGCTGGAGAAAGCATTTCAAGGGAAAGAATCTCATGTTCTACGGGCCGGTGTGCATTCGTATAACCTTGAATCTAAACGGAAGGTGTTTGTCATGGAAACACAGACAGTGGTGCTGCTGGGCCAGGCTCAAGGCATTGGGACTTCAGTGGCCAGTACATGATGCGCAGGTGGGGAGTCCAGCTCCTCTCTGGTTATGCATCTGTGTAGGACTTGGTCCTTTCTTACCCATGCAAGGTGTCCTCAGCTGCCAACATTAGGAATGGGTGTGAGTGAGACCCAGTGCCTCCTTCACCTGGCACAGGACTGAGGACTTCCCAGACCAGTCTGTGAAGGAAGCAGGGAAAGGCTCATGGGTGTAGAGGGCCACGTGGCCTCCAACCCTACTAAGGGCTCAACAGGCAGTGAGCCCCCATGCAAGGGGGTGGGCAGAGCCTGGATCTGTGCCGCCTGCCAGGTCTTTCCCTGGTGACTTCTCCCACCTTTGTAAATTCCCTGGGTCTGCCCCTCTTTGCTCCTGAGCCCATTTTCCCCCAGAAAGACTGGCAGCTGCCCTTAGTGGCCCTTGCTTGCCATCCTGTGGAGACCAGGTGGTCCCAGACCAGGGCTGTGGAACACACAGGGTTTCATTTTTGAGGGGGAGAGAAAGCAAGTGGCATGTGTACGTTCCTGCTGGGCTCTGTGTTCCCCAGGGGCCAACTGGCAGTTCTTCCATCTCCCCCACTGCTCGTAAAAAGAGGAGGGGTCAGACACCTCCCATTCATGATGTTTTTTTAAGTTTTTACGATTGTTATTTCCTATAATAGAGTATTTTAAGTGTAGGGATGCTCCCTGTCCATTCTCTCCCTTCGCCACTGTCTTCCCCCACTTTATTACAATAGCATAGTCCTTCAGCAACAGGCACAAGTTCCACGTGCTGCTGTTTAGGTGTAGCGTGGTATTGCAGGCATACACAAGGATATCAAATTGTCAAGGTATATTGAACAGTTTCTTTCGGAGTCCTTCTTTTATTCAGGAGTAGAAATGCACACTGCAGTATATATTCACCTCCTGGTATGCTAGGCTCCATTGTACCTTCTATGAGAATATATGTACATGTGTGTTTACCTATATATCTGATATATATTTTTGCATAAAGTTTGCCTTGGAGAACGTATGATATTGTGCCTTGGGGATTGGCTGATTTCACAGAGCACAGTGGTCTCCAGTTGGGGCTACTTTGTTATAAATGGTAGAATTGTATTCTTTTTAATGGCTGTATAGTATCCCATGCAGTAATGTATGGTAGATGTTTCATTTCCACATCTTTGCTATGACTATAGAGATGCAGATCACTCTTTCATATGTAGATTTTGCTTCCTCTGCATATATTCCTAGGAGTGGGATAGCTGGGTCATATGGCCAAGTCTCACTGTGACCTGATCAATTTTTAGATCAATTGTCTGAACACTCTCCATGCTGACTTGCATAGTGACTGCACTGGTCTATACTCCTGCTGGTGGCAGTTTGTTTAACCCATTTGTGACGCGGATCCCGGCTGACTGTAACTTCCCAGTCATCCCCAGGCACGCCATGCAGTGCTCCCTCTGCCTTATTCTTTCAGCTGCCGCAGATTCCCCTGTTGGTAGGAAGCTAGGGCTGAGCCAAGTGCAGCCAGCTAAGAAAGGGCTCCATCTGACAGTGTGAATGGAGAACTCCCCGCAGGTGTGTTGGGCCAGATACTGTTGCTCCTAGAAGGTTGCGTTCACGCATCCTGGAGCTCCACGGGACCCTACCCAAGCTCAGGCCCCTTTTCCCCAACAACTTGTATAGGCAGATTCAGGTACTACACACCCCTGGGGGAAAAAAGCCTGAAGCTAGCTTCAGCCTTGGAGCTTTCATTCTCCGGAGTTTCATTCCCTTCAGCACAAACTCAAGCTCATCTCACCTTGTCTACTAAGTACATCAGGGTCAAGATTTTGTCAGGAGCAAGTATTTCATTGCAAAAACAGTACTTGAGTGCAAAAAGTGGAGCAGTGGACACAGGTCCCTTCGCAAAAGGAGAAGATGGCAGCGCATTCAATGCTGGAGTGGAAAAACAGAATTAACTGGACAACTACCCTAAACGAGTGACAGCAGAAAATCCCGGTGAATGGAGCCAATGGCCATTGGGAGGGCGACGTCATGTTCGGATCGGTGAAAACGGCAGCATTTCAGAACTAAGCCACTTGGACAGAGCCCTCGGCACATGCACGCACTAAGACTCTGGGCGGTGGTTCCTCATCCCTGGGTACTGGACGTGTGAAAAGTTGTGAGTGGTTTCCCCCTTTGTCTCTCCTGTTCCCCCAGGAACAAAAAGAAAAAGTAGCAAATTTGGAAGCAATGAATTCACCTAATTTTCCCTAAACCTTGGTCCTTCCCACCCTGATCACTGTGTAATCATTATTTAAAAATAAAATAAAATTTAATTTAAAAAAAAACAGCATTTGATCTTTGGAAGAACAGGTGGGGCTTTAGGGGAGGAATTCTATATTAAGTTCTTGGTGAATCCTTTGAAATAATACGCAGATTATTCATAAAGTTTGTAGAAATGAAATTCAATATAGTTTTGGTACATAAGTTATCAAAGCCTGCCTATGACAAGTCACCTTAGAAAAAACTACGTAGGGACTTCAAATGTCTTATACCAAAATAAACTGACTTTTAATTAGTGTTGCAGGTAGGCGGTAAACTGGGGCGTGGTGAGTGCAGGGCCAGCCATGCCTCGCTAGGGCTCAGCCTCTGTTCTCCTCTCAGGTTCCTCCCCCTCCACAAGCCTGCGCCTCAGACCCTAAAGTTAAAGCCATTGAGAAAGATAGGGGCCAACAGGTGGCCAGTGCCTGGAATACTCCTGTGGCTGCTGGGCTCTGAGCTGCTCCAGAAACCATGTCCATAAAATCTGCAGATCTTACTCCAGCTCAGCTCCATTCTTACTGCACCATCTTCCCTGCTGTAGGGAACAGCTGAGCCATGCGAAGACATCATGATTCTGTAAGTGGGGAGGCAGCGGGAGCACGTGATAGATCCTTAATGAAGGTTCCTTTTTTCTTTTTGCTCAGCTCAACGACTCTGCCAAGCAGCTCATTGAGATGGACAAGCCATGCCTGGCTGCTGCATCGAACTGCAACACCTCCTTGTCCTCTGATACCGGTGCTGCGGCCAGCATGACCCCAGGTCCCACTGTAAGCAGCTCAGGGGCGGTCAGTGCCTTTCAGCGACGCGTGGACAGCAAGAAGAATACCAAGAAACGTCACTCCTTCACCGCACTCAGCGTCACACACAAGTCCTCGCAGGCTGCCAGCCACAGGCACTCCATGGAGATCAGTGCCCCGGTGCTGATCAGCTCCAGCGACCCCCGAGCCGCAGCCAGGATCGGCGAGCTTGCTCATCTGTCCTGTGCTGCTCAGGTAGGGTCCCATGGCCAGGATTGGTGCCCCTGGTTTATCCGTGCCCAGCATCTGCAGGTCTTGGCAGGCAGGCAGGCAGGAGGCCGTTCTGGAAGTGCCTTTAGACTCACTGGGTTTCCCTCCTCACTGCCTGGCTTCAGGGATGCCTTGAAGACTTGGTCAGTGTGTCAGCGGTGCCCACCATTGGAGAAGGTGCCATGCTGGTTTCTGCGGGGCTGTATACCTCCTCTGCTAGTGATCCATTCAGCAGCCTTGCTCCACCTGCCCTACAGGGGCGTCTCATATGTCCTACATGTGCGTCATAGCAAGTGCACCAATCAGTGGACAAAACTGGGAGAATATAAATGAGTGATTGGCTGCGAAAAAACAATCTTTGCACTATTATAATGGACTCAGCTAATGTACCAAGAAAATTGTCTCTGAGAAGCAGCTGAGCTCATAGAGAAGCTGTATTTGAATTGGATGTGCCCAGGAAGCCTTAATACATCCACTGCACACAGATACAGCTGGGCACATCCAGATGTGGTTGTACACAACACCTCAAGTTTCTGGAAAGTGGAGTTAAAAAAAAAAAAAGGTGTTTTATTCTGGGGGCCAGTGTTGTAACATAGCATGTAAAACCTCTACCTGGGGAGAGAGCCCCCCCATGTGGACACAGATTTGTGTCCTGACCGATCCATTCCCTATCCAATCCCTGCTAATAGTCCTGGAAGAACAAAGGAATATGGCTAAAGCTTTTGGGCAGGGGCCACCCATGTGGGAGATGAGGATGAAACTCTAGGCCACTGGCTTGAGCCTGGCCCAACCCTGGCTGTGCAGCCATCTTGGGGGCGAACCAACAGACGGAATATCTGTCTGTCTTTATCTCTCTCTCTTTTTGTAACTCTAATGAATTGATTAATTTCAACCACAGATTTATTTTGTTGCCAAACAATTTTTAAATCCATAGACAGTTTTCTCATAGTGCACATTTGCCATGAACTTTTGGAGACCACTTATATCCATGGTTTTCAATTTCTCACACCAAAATAAACATATCTTTTAATTCATTTTCCAGCTTTTTGAAGTACCTGGTTGTAAGTACACACATGTGTGCTCATTCACACGCACATGTATCTGTTCTTGCACATTTCTAACCTGGTGTATACCCTAGGATGCCCTGGGTGCACACAGATACATACAGGGCACTGACATACCCAGTGTATGCCCTAGATACATGCTGCACATTGACATACCCCAGTGTATGCGCATCTGCACATATGTGCAGTATTCATGCATACATGCACACAGAGACACACATATGCAGGCACAGAATCTATGGACATGTCTACACATGTGTATGTGCAGTGGGTGCCCATACCTGCCCACAGATACACATGTACACCCACATCCACCTAGGAAATATGCTTGGACCCACAACTTGGGAGGCACACAGTCAACTGTGGCCCTCTGTATATTGGCTTTTGTGAACAATATGGAGACTCCCTGGATCTCAGTCTGTCCACTAAGAACATGTGCCTTTAGGGGTTAAAATGGCAGTGATTCCCTACAAAGTCATGTTCGTTCTTTGCTTAAACCGCCTGGAAGGGCTGAGTGAGTCGGAGAAACAGCAGAGATGGAGGCACTGTTGTCATGGTCATGGCGAGATGTGGCACACTTGTCCTCAAGGGTAGCCAGGTGGAATGGCTCCAGCTCAGAGCTCAGGTCCCTGCTTGGTAATCTGCTAACCCTTTGGTGATGGGAATAGTTGAATGTTGAGCTCTGAAACAAACTCGGTCCAGAAGGTAAAAAGGCGGTGGGAAACAGGAGCCTGGCACTGTCAGCACTCGGGTCTTTCATGCTCTTCCTTGTGGAACAGTGACAGCCGCTCTCACTGCACTCAGGGACTCCTACCAGCAGAGGGAGGGAGCGGAAGGGGGAGGGGAGAACCTACGTCTTGTCCCAGCCAGCATGGCCTTGGGGGCTGCCAGGCAGTGTCTTCCCTCTTTCAGTGTTTAGTCTCGTGTGTAATGAGCGACACTTTGACAGCTTACCATCCCTCAGTACTTCCAAAGGGGCCGAGTGGAGCTGTGGACATCAGCTTGAGCTCTGTCCTGTCCACAGAGAGCCTGAGGTATCTTCTCTGGCACTTCCTTCATGCCCTGAGACGTGGGCTCAGCACATGTGGGTACAGGATGTAGTCTTCTCTTCGACCATCTCCTCATCAGCATTCATCCTCTCATTGCCATCTGTGGTGTCCAGCGAGGAGCTTTCCCCAGTTTACAGTCCCTTAAAGAGGGCCCGGAAGGTTCACCTGCCCCCAAATCATACTCTGCTCTCAGCAGAGCTCAGCGGCCAGCTCAAGTAGCAACCCTGGGTCAACTGCGTGGAAAGGATTGCCAGCGGAGTGGAGAAGGAAAGAGGCTGTTCAGGCCCATGCCATGATTCAGATGTCTGCTTCCTGAGATCATTGGATTCGATCGGGAAATGGCCACAGTCATGGCTTACGTGTGGTCGAGACTCGTTCTGCCAAGTGCATGGCCAGACTGTATTGTCACTGTGCAAATAACACCAAGTGCACTTTGAGCAGTGGTGGTAAGCCACTTGGCACAGTCTCTTCATGTCACTAGGAGACGCCATAAACTCGAGTTTATTTCACAGCAGTCATCGTTTTAAGGAAGATAGGATATCCTAAAATCACCATAAAGTGTTGTTAAGCCAACAGTTAGTACATAAACTCATAATGTATTCCTGTACTCTCATGAGTATTATATATCAAAAGTAACTGCAGCTGGTATATTTTCATCTGATGGAGGCATGGTAGGTGTGTGTCAAGCCATGTGCCAACATACATGTCAGAACTAGAGTACACTGCCAGCCTCATGGCCACAGGATCGTGAAAACAGCACCTCTGTAATATTCCAACCCACTCTCAGACAGCATGGTCCACCTCTGACCAAAGCATTGTCAAACCACACATGCTTTCCTCACAACCCAAAAAAGAACCCCAGCAAGTGACAGAAGTCATTGCTAGACTGCCTGTACCCAATGCTGGGACTCTGTTTCGACCTGTGTGACTTGGTGACAAGCAGTCCTACTCTTGGAGCCATGAGCCAAGACACCTGTTTCTCTCTCATTGTGCATGTGACTCATGGGCAGCTGACAGCTGGCTCTGCTGCAGTGTATCAGCCAGCGCTCAGGGGTTGAGTCTAGCCCCCGCAGTGCTGCTGTCTAAATTATCTTACATACAGTCTCCCATGCCCCTCTCACTCCCTGGAGCTGCCTTGAGGCCAATCATAGGTGCTGAAACAGAGACAGTAAGACCTGGTGTGCAAGCTGTGTGTGTGTGTGTGTGCCTGTGTCTCAGGGGAAAGCACCCCCTACCTTAGCATGTCTGAGTCAATACACATCTTTTCACTCTTTCTACCTCCGAGCTCTCTCCTAGACCCCCCCACAGCAGGCAAACCTTGTGGCCTCTATCACATAGAAAGGCCTGACAAATCTGCTAGGGGACCCTTCATGTAAACACTTCCTGAGCCCCATGCAAGATGGGATGAGATAGAAATGTGATAGTTAGTGCCATGGTCCCCAGTGCTTTTGTGTAGTGGGAGAAGCACTTCTGATCCTGGTTCATTAGCTACAGCCTGCCTGCCTTAAAGTGAATGAGGACACAGAGCCTTCTGGGACTGGAGGGGGAGGAGGATGCAAGCACTGTGACCATTCTCTAGGTTTTCACTTAGCCGAGTTCTGTATGTCTTTGTTGCTGAACACAGAGGTGGGAAATGTTAGTTACTTAAAACTCTTAAAGTTCTTACAGTTCTTACCTTATTACGCAAAGCCAATTCCCGCAGCCGGGTTCTTTGACCATGAGCTGAAAACAGCAGACGCAGTGAGGTACTTTAGGAGGTTTATTCCAGCAGGGCAGTAATGGGATGGAGGTGGTGGGAGACGAGAAAGGAGGAGAGAAGAAGGGGAGAGGCCAGAAGGAGAAGAGAGAGAGCAGAGCCTCACCTGGGGGTTCTTCTATGCTATTCGGGTGGGAGAACCTGCAAGGTGTGGGGATTGGGAGGGATTGAGGGCATTGGGAGGGATTGAGGGCAGGCCCCAAGGAATTGGTACCTGGAATTGTTACAGGTGATTGCCTAAGGATGATTGGTAAGTGGGCGGGGTTAGGAAAGGGGCTGGGAGCTATTGGGGGTGGGATTCTTAGGTGAAATGCCGGGTTACATCTGATTGGTGGACAGTTAGACTGGTGCGAATTTTGTGAGCTGTGAGGAGCAGGAAGTGGTGCTGGGTCCAGGGTGGGATATTCAAATAACTCCTTACAGGAAATATGGACAGGTCCTGTGCTTTGCAGGTGAGCATACAGAGGAAGGGCAACACCTTTAAAATGGAGGCCAGAGGAGGTCTGTGTTGTGGTGCTAAGCTGTTGCAGCTTTACCCACATCGCACACAGGAGTGCCTGAGTTCAAGTTCCGACCCCACATCCAGCTTGCTGTTGCTAGGCACCCTAGGAGGCAGCAGGTGATGGCTCAAGTCCTTGGCTCGCTGCTCTCTGGTGGGTACACTCACCTGGACTGCGTGTTTCCTGGCATTAGCCTTGCACAGTCCTGGATGCTACAGGCGTTTGGAGAATGAACCAGTAGATGGGAGACTGACTCTCTCGCCCGTCTTGCTCTCTCTTTTTGTCTCTTTTTCTCTCCTGATTACTTCCCTTTCAAACAAATACACACAGGTTCTATGTGGCTGGGCTGTCTGCAAAGGGAGGGTGCCCTAGCAGGCACTAATGCAGGAGCCACTGCAAGCTGACAACCACTCCAGCTAGAAACAGCTCCTTTACCAGGCCTTGTCTGCCTCTGAGATTTGAAAAGCCTCATGACTTCCAGATCAATTCTGAAGTAAACAACCCCATGAGATTAGGGAAATGCCCTTTCCAATCAAAAAAGTGTTGAAATGCAGTGGGAGGGACATCAGAAAGCCAGTGCTTTTCAAGTGTCTCCTTGATTGAGACGTCGGTTAGA